AAAAAAAAAAAAAAAAAAAAAAAAAAAAAAAAAAAAAGAGTTCAGACCACTCTACAATCATTCAGTTTTCTAGATGTCAGAAGTACATTCAAGTGTCCACAAAGGGGGTTAGGCACAAGAATATCTGCTTTCCAGCTCTACAAAAATATCTTCAAAAATACAAATTTTAACAACCTTTTTCATGAAGTTCTTTGCACAGAACTATAGAAGAAGGACCATGGAAATGCCAGTGATTATTTTTGCCATCTCACAAATCCAACAGATGCATTCAGACAGAAACTAAGAGTGGAAAGGTCAGAACTGCTGGAACAGAGCTCTCCAAAAACTGACCAAAAGTGTCCAGGGTTTCCTAACACATCCCACACTGATTGAACAATATGACTTCGCCAAATACAGACAAGAAATTTGCTTTCATCCTCACAGTGTTAAAAGCGAGCCTTCAACCATGCGGATAGAAATCTCACCTAAACCAATAGTCCCCAACAGGGATTGACCAACAACTAGTTTCACACAAAATCCTCCTGCGTTGTTTCCAGCCACAGAAATAAATGCAGTCCAATAGAACAAAAGAGAATTGCTCAGCACTTTTTACCCTTAAGAGTCAATTAAAGGCATAGGTTCATACTCTAAGCTTTTGTCTTGGCCACACTCCAGTAATTTGTTCAAGCTCTCCTGCCTGCTGCCTTTTTGCCCTCTCCTCTCATCATTTAAAAGTCTTTCCTAGACCCACAAACACCCAACAAAACATTACTGAGCAAAGCCCGTTCTGCTCACACACGCCTCTTCTCTGAGCAGTAATGGGTGCCTATTTCTGAGATGTAGATCAGTATGGTTATGTTTTCTAGACCCCATGGAAGAGCTCAACTATTTCTTACCACAGCCTCCTAAAAAAAGCATTTATATCTCAACTCATAATAAATTATTTGCTTTTCTTCTTTCTTAATCATAAGGAGACTATTTCAACCAAATTTGGATTATTTTTCCTCCTCCTTAAACACAAGATAACTAATCCTAACAGCACACCAGCACTTCTTCCTTGAGGAAGGAAGACTCAGAAGAACAATCTTTGTTTTTTAAACCTTTTTGGCTGAACACATTTCCAAAAGGTCAAGAAATAACAAGTCAGTATTCTGTAACGGACTGTCTACCCAGTCGTCTTCTTTTAGTCTCAGACAGCACAGAGCAAGGTAACTGCATCCTCCTGTGTACTGAGGGAGAAGAGTCCAAAATGTAGAGTTCGTACCCAGAAGTCTTATACCTACAAGAATAGAGGGCAGAGCTGGACATAAGGCAACACAGAGGACAATAGACTTAACACCTTGGCTGTCCTGTGTTGCAAGATAGGTACAACTTAAAACTATGTGGGCTACATTAGGCTGGGTTAGAGAGCAAAATCAATTGCTCTCAGTTTTTTTCTTGGACTGTGTGGAGAGGATGTCATTTCACTGAATTCTTCTGTGTCTGCTGAGGTCCACAACCCAAACAGAACAGGCAGTGATGTTGTCATAGCTGTCTTCCTTCATCTTAAAATATACTGCACCACCAGCAAGGCATCACCTGAAATCTAAAGCAGGAAGAAATAGCAAGTGTTCAAAGATCACCGGTCTGCATTAGCATCACACATGGTGCTATAGGGAAAACAGACTACAATGCATAGGCAGCAGTACTTCCCCTTCTTGGTGTTGATAAAAATCATTCAGTTTAAAGTCCCAAAGAAAAATCATTTTTCATTCGTAATCTAGTATAGGTTTTTTTCCTTCCCTAAACATGCTAAGATCCATAAATTTTGCCATAAAGGACAAGAGGATGATCTTCCTGGACTTAAACTGCAGAAGGTGTCATTTGAAAAGTAATAAACTAGCTCTAAACAATGAGATAATGGTTTAGAGGAGTATACACTGTTTACTACCACCTCAACCAGTCTGATCTATTATTGCCCCGGATACAGAAAGAGCAGATGTATCACTGTGGTGAAAAAGGCTATAAAACAATTAAATTATAATAGAAAATAACACTTCTCATAGCTGAAGGCACTCCTCCCAGGGTCTGCCTCTGTTCCATACAAAGGCTCAGTTGGTCACGTTACATAAGATAATAACCGATTCCAAAAGGGCTTAGTTTTACAAATGTCAGATTAGGAAGTTTCCTCTCCATATAATTATAGTTCTAGTTGATTGAGCTCCAAATTTAATGAAGTTTGCCTAATGAATGCAGTGTTCATTCCTCTAAATAAAACAGAACATCCATCATGAACTAATGAAAGGAATTTAGCAGTGAAATAGCTGAACTATTAACAAAATCATGCACACTCCCATTAAGCGAGAGTATTATTCCAAAGGACTGCAAAATAGTAAATCAGATTTATATTTAGGTAGACATCAGTTTCCTAGGATGAGACAAATAATTCCTTCACTTGATAGCACATAAATCTAGAGTCTGAAATATCTAGCAAATCATATGACTAAGTGTAAACAGCAGGGCCATTAAAAGAAAAATGGTCTTTCAGTATGCCAAATTGCTAGATGAAGAACTGGTTTATTTATATCATTTTAAAGTCTCACAAGAGACTATCAAAGTACCAGGAGACAGATCGTTGTCATGTGTTCCATGACAAAAGGAATATGAAGGAAATAAACAGCCCATTTTCATTATACCAGAAGGGTAAGTATAGAGAGTTAGAAAGTCTGATACCAGCTACAGGGTTGTTTAGTGTATTTATTATGCAGAAGAAGAGACTATGAGCAGTGAGGTACTAGAGAAAATATGTGAACTAGCATAGATCAATTATGGTCAGAGAAGACTGAAAATTTGACAAACAGATACATTATGTGAATAAGGAACAAGATGGCAAGTTAGAACTCTACACCAGCAAACTGAAGCTACACATTCTGAGTTGAAAAGTAATCATCAAATAGGTGCTTCACAGAATCTCTGATTATTTGACATGTTAC